TTATTCAGTACGTATATTGATAGCGAATTGTGTTTTTGGCAAACCCATTAGTTATCAGATAAATCTAGTATAATTCGCGTGAACATTAATAGCTAAATGTCTCTGAGTAGTGTTCTGTAGCAGGATTTTTATTGGTCATTGATGAAGTGTCCCACACCCCTCTTTTATAATTTGGGTGTTTGCATTGCTATATTTATATAGAGAGTTGGAGGTTATATGGATTTTCTGAGCAAATTTTTTATACAATTTGCTCAGTGACTATTTCTTATTCTTGGATTCGTTAATACAGATGGACCCAGTTGAATGAAGTAGTTTAATCTAAGAATTTTAAGTTTTCGTCTTAAGTTTGAGTGAGCTGTTTATGCTTCTTTGATGATTTGTATATTGCAATATTTAGTTTAAATAGAATTACAGTTTGTCTTTCTGCAGATGGTATTGAGTTTAGTGATTACGACTTTTGTTTTAAGTAAACGTAAGATGTTGGGTTATTTCCAGTACCGTAAGGGACCAAAAAAGGTAGGATTTTTAGATTGATTTCAGAATTTTTCTGATTTAACGAAGTTTTATTATTTCCAAATTCGTAGGAGTATTTTTATTATTTCTACTATGGTTCGGTATTTGGATCATATTATAGGTTGAGTTATTCCAGTTTACCCTTACTATAATTCTTGGTTATTACGAGTGGCGCAAGTTATGCTTCATTATTTAGTGGGCAAGGGAGATGTAAGAGTTAGTTATTTTCTTGGGGATATGCGTTCTCCATTCAGATCAGTTAGATTTGGAGTCGGAGTGTGTGATAGGCTTACCTCCACGTGGTGCACCTTGGGCAACGTATACTCATTCGGCTTACCTCCACGTGGTGCACCTTGGGCAACGTATACTCATAAGGCAAAAAAGTCTATAAACTGGCAGTTGACTTCTGACCCCACTGTATGTCATATTCGATTACTTCCACAGTACTCACATCGTATTTTTCTTAATGTTCTACCTTAGTCTTTGAAACACTCTTCTATCCCCCCCCCCCTCTCGACTTTTTTTCACTTTGATGTTCCTTCCACTCTGTGAAGCCTGTAGTTAACTAAATGGCTAATGATAACCATCAAAACGCCTGCCATTTGATATAAATAAATAAATAGATTCGGAGTCTGATCTGTTCCATTTGTTCTGGTAAATATTGTTTATTTGTTTATTGTTTTTTTTCGGCATTATTTTTTTTATTTTATTACCTTTATTTTATACTTTGTTCATTATTTATATATTATGCGAAACTGATCGTACCTTGTTTGATCATTCTGAACCTGAAAGAATTTAATACGGTGTATAGAGGGATAATATTTACTTGTTTATTTGTTGTTAGTATATTTTCCTGATTAAGTTATTTAATAACGATTGGAGACGGTTTATTGGGAGTTATATTTTTTATGTGAGCTCGGACTACTCTACCACGTATTCGTTATGACTATTTTGTTATTTTATATCTATAGCTTTACAATTATTAATATTTTAATTTTTCTTCGTGACTTTTAAAATCTATTCCAGCCGTAACTCCTAATGAAAAAGTGTTTTCTAGTAGTCAGTACTACATTTTAACCTTAGTTTAGTAAGAATTTTGACTTTGGGAGTCATTGGTCTCTATAATATGAGATGTTTGGCCACTGGGGCTGCTTTAGCATGTTACTTTGATATAGTAAGTAGTAAATTGCTTATTGCCTTGGTATCTCTAAATCTAAGTTTAAGTGTTAGGTTCCTACCTTATTAATGCGTTATGCACTACAGATTGCATAGTTTTATATATATTTCATTTTTCTTGTCTGTGGTTATGTATAGTAATTATTTTTTTTACTTACGGTTTATTTAAACAAAGGCGTATAGGAAAAGTGTCATGAGATAGGAAATACGGGTGCGGATTAAGACCTATCTTTTTAAGGTTTATGTGTACCAGATTTACTTATTTTTCTCCAATATCTTTTATATTCGCTTTTGAATCACCTTTGTTATTAAATTTGCCTATGCATGGATTATTAACAATAAGATTTTTTGCTTTATTATATTCTATAAGTATCTTAGTTGTTAGTTAATTTATGGCTGTGATTGTTAATTTTTCTTAAGAATAAACAAGAGTAGGTTATTTTTAGTTTTTTTCCAACATAAATTTTGACTGGTATCACTATGTTAGGTACGAGACTGGTCTCCCAAATTTTGTTGAATAGTGTCAGAATGATCTCCTTGGCTTTTGGCCCCATTCTAACCATCTGACAAAATGGTTTCTTCTTTTGCTTGTGGGAATGGAACCTCGTAAAGGGGTTAGCTATTTCGGCATCGATGGTTCTTTCTTGGGTCATTTCTTATTGTTTTGGAGGTTTTTCAGGAATTTGAATGTGCATGTTTTGCTCATGTCGAAGGTAGTCCGTTTGGCGTGCAAGATGGCTTGCCTTAGGACAGCTGGCTGCCATCTTCAGGCTTATATACCTTCCGTTCTTCCGGTCTCTTCAGGAGTGCTGCAAAGGGCTTTCCACTTTCTATTCAGTTGCTCAAGGTGTTTCAAACAGAACACTAAAGTATTTAGTCTTGCCACATGGAATAGATATCCTTGCACATCCGATTATAATACTGTGATATTGTTTGCACAGTTCGTCAGGATGGTGATAATGGTTGATGGGACTTGAGTGAAATTCATTTTTAAAAGGCTTGTGAATCTTGCCAATCGGCCTTTGTGAAATTCCATGGTAGCTTGGTTAGCATTAAATTTTGACAAATATTTTTTATACTAAATTCAAACGTACGATTTGCCAAAAATAGTTCCTTGTGTTTGCAAAGACCGCTAACTAAGAACAATTTCTCTGCTGAAATAATGGACATTATCTGGAGAGCTGGCTTAGGAGCTGGGCTGCTTCGTTCCAACTAAACAAAAATATCCCTACTTCGTCTACCCTGCGTTCCGACATTTTGGGGTGCGCAGACGTGGTGCACCCTGGACAACGTATCTTTGTACGGCAAAATGGTGGGTGCACCCTGGACAACGTATTTTCTTACGGCAAAAAAGTATATCACTCGAGGTGCACCCTGGACAACGTATTTTCTTACGGCAAAAAGTCAATGTGCACCCTGGACAACGTATTTTCTTACGGCAAAAAATCTGCATTTAGACTTCTATTTATTATGATTAGCTTTAAAAAAGACTATAAGAGAAATTGCTCTCGTTAAGGCCAATCACAACGTCTTCAGATCCTCCAGTAGAATGCTGGAGGGAAAAAAGGCTATAAGAAAAATCGCCCTCGTCAGGGCGATTCCAACGTCTTCAGATCCTCCAGTGGAATGCTGAAGGAATGTCACACCGGCCAAAAAGATCCAATCAGTGGACGGGAATGTCTCCGGACAAAAAGATCCAAGTACAGAAAATCCTAAAAAAATGTCTCCCCGGCCAAAAAGATCCAAATACAGAAAATCCTGAAAGTGATGTAGACATTTTCACAATTATGGAAGCAAACATTTCGGATGCCACCTGAAGTACTACCAATTCCCAGGTTACACCCTGTACCTTCCTCCTAAATACCTAAGTTGCAAGTGGAATTCTAACTGGAGTCTAATCAAGAGTATCCTCGACACAAGACATATGTGAAATAATCAGATTAAATGTTTGGAAATGTCAAAACCACTTTAAGATATATGCATATGTTTGGAAATGTCAAAACCACTTCAAGGTATATGCAGTCTGCCACCCCAGAATTGTCCAAACTTTGACTTTCTGAACATCGTCCACAGGGGCTACAAGAATACAAACATAGCTGGAAAGGAAATCGAAGATATGCTAAACTGCAACCTAGGAACTTATTTACAGCAATGAGGATCCGGCTACATGTTTGCACTACAATGGATCCAGAACAACTCCTGATTTACTCTTGGCTTCAAGCGACATCAGTGAGCAGTGACTTACTCCTGGTCAAGCGACATCAGTGAGCACACACACCGCAAAATAAGACGATCCTGGTTCTGGTCACAAACCAGTCATTGCTAGTGAAGACATCAGTGAGCATACATTGATGATCCTGGTTTTCTGGTCACAAACCAGTCATTGCTAGTATTACCATCGGTTGCAAAAGCATGAGCTGGTCAATACCACGTCATTGCTAGTATTACCATCGGCAGCAAAAGCATATCAAAGGCGCAAAATAAAGACGATCCTGGTTCTGGTCACAAACCAGTCATTGCTAGTGGCAAGCGACATCAGTGAGCACACACACCGCAAAATAATTGATGATCCTGGTTTTCTGGTCACAAACCAGTCATTGCTAGTATTACCATCGGTTGCAAAAGCATGAGATACCAGTCATTGCTAGTATTACCATCGGCAGCAAAAGCATCACAACGAGAAAGTGCCAACTAAGCTATCATGGAACTTCAATAAGGCTAACTGGCCAAGATTCACAAACCTTTTAGACAATGAACTTCGCAAAGTCCCCTCAACTTCAACCAACATCCTGACAAACTTTGCGATCAGTCCCCTCAACTTCAACCATGGATGAAATTTATTCAAGTCCCCTCATCTTCAACCAACATTCCTACACTTTGCACTGCCGAATATTATGATCAGATGTGCAAAGAAAACTATTCCCCTTAACTTCAGCCAACATCCTGACCAACTTTGCACTGCTATCACGAGAACCACCATCCTGACAAACTTTGCAATGATATTACGAATATCATGATCAGATGTGCAAAAAAAACTATTCCCCGAGGCAAGATCAACTTCAACCAACATCCTGACAAACTTTGCAAAGATATCGCGAATATTATGATTTAGATGTGCAAAACTATTCCCCGAGGTAAAACTAAACACTATCGAGTGTTACTATTCCCCGAGGCAAGACTAAACATTATCGAGTGTTTTGTTATTCCCCGAGGCAAGACTAAACACTATCGAGTGTTTTGGTGTCCCCGAGGCAATATGATCAGATGTGCAAAGAAAACTATTCCCCGAGGCAAATATAAACACTATCGAGTGTTTTGGTCTAGGCACCTTGAGGAAGCCTATCGAGTGTTTTGATCTAAACACCTTGAGGAACTGAAATGAGTGTTTTGGTCTAAACACCTTGAGGAACTGGAAAGATGAGTGTTTTGGTCTAAACACCTTGAGGAATTGAAAAGAAAGCGGGACGTCCTTCGCAACAATGCTGATCAGTGTTTTGATCTAAACACCTTGAGGAACTGAAAAGAAAGCCCTGTAACCTGGAGACGACAATCAGCTGTCCTAAGGCAAGGGTACAAGCCTGGAGACGACAATCAGCTGTCCTAAGGCAAACAGATAAACGGACTTCCTTCGACAAGCATCTCAAATATCAACTATAAAGTGATAGCCAACGCACTTTCAAATTTCTGCGAAACCTGCAAAACAACAGAGAAAGACCCAAGAAAGAACCATGCTTAAACAGCAAATTGCTTACCACCGACATCGAAATAGCCACTGCTTTGCGAGGTTCTATTCCCATAAGCAAAAGAAAAACACTTTTGTCAGAAAATCTTCAAGAGAATAAAAATACAAGTAAGACAGTTTGGTGAAATTAAGGAAGATATAGCAACACCAAATAATGTACTTACTGAACCATTCAACCTTGCGAAATTAATGCTGCGATAAAACAGCTCGTGCAAGAAGTCTCCTGGCGAAGACGGTATTCATCCAGAACTTCTAATAAGAATGGGACTAACAGCCAAGGAAACCATGCTGAAGCTTTCCCACAAAATCTGTAAGACCTGTCTCATACCTAACCAATGGAAAGTTGCCATAGTAATACCAGTACTGGGCAAATACCCTAGCAACTTTGACAACTATAGGCCTGTCTTCCTCACAAGCGTGCTGGCTAAACTTATGGAAAGAATGGTTGACAGGAGGCC